CGGGGCCCGGGGCGCCCTGCGCGCCTGACCTGCCTCGCCCGCCGCCGTCCCGGCCTCGGCCCCGCAGCATGTCCGCCAAGTCCAAGGGGACCACCTCCTCCTCGTCCTCCTCCTCCTCGCCCGGCGCGGGGCAGCCCGCCGCCGCCAAGACCAAGGTGAAGGAGCAGATCAAGATCATCGTGGAGGACCTGGAATTAGTCCTGGGGGACCTCAAAGACGTGGCCAAGGAGCTCAAGGAGGTGAGAGCTGGGGGGGCGGGGGGCAGGACCCCCCGCTTCCACCCCACGACCCTCCTGCCCCGGGCGAGGGCAGCCCCGACAAGTGCTTGCCGGGCCGGGCCGGGCCGGGCACGGGGGGATCAACTAGTGTCTCCGCCGCGCGGGAGGGAGGGAGGGAGAAGCCCCACGCACCGTCTCGCTTGGATGTGCCGGGCTCCCCGCAGGCTGCGGCTCAGCTCTTCCCCGCGCCTTTCCTGCCGAGGGGGAGACGCAGCCCCTCGCCAAGGACCACCCCCACCCCCGGCTCCCAGGGCACTGCTGCCCCCCCGGGCTTCTCCCTCTGCGGCTGGGATTTCAGGGATCTCGGGGTGTGTGTGGGGGGCGGGGGGACTATTGAGGAACCCCTGCAGCTCCCCCGGGGACCGCTGCACTGGTGGGGGTAGCTCTGCAGAGGGGCAGAGAAAGATCTCCCCCTCCCCAGCTCCAGTCTGACTTTGCCAGTGGAGCTGCCCCCTCTCCGCCTGGCCCGAGAGAGAGGACCGAGGGAGCCCGCACCTACAAGCAGGCGGTGCTGGAGAGAGTGTGTGCGCGCGCGCGCGAGCGGGGGGACACGCGCACATCTGTCGCGGTTTGGGCAGCTGAGCGCTGGCCGAGCCCGCAGGGATCACGAGGCGAGCCCGCTGTCTTGCTGGCCTGCCCCTGCGTGGAAGCCATTGCACTGTCACGGGGCCGGCCAGGGACAGCTCCCGCCGCCTCGTGAGCCGGGGATGGCGCGGGACCCGGGTGCGGCGAAGCGTCGGCAAAGCCCTCCCCCCGATCTCCCTTTCGTGACTGCTCGACAGATGGCTGGCTTTAACGCGCTGCGAAACCCAAGTTCCAAATCTGTGCGCCCGGTGCTCCCTGATCCTTTGGACAAGGTGATCTCCCGAGGTCCCTCCCAAACCTAGTTTTCTGTGATTCTGTGATCTGACATGTGTAGCAGTCTGTGCTTTTGCTCTCCGATAGTATCCCCCCCCCCCCCTTTTAACCACTAAGTTTTATTCAATAGACTTCTGCCACGGGTGGCAGCTTGAAATTCAAGCCTTTCCTTTTCAGAAAGAAGCTAGGCTTTCAGCCTGGGTCTATTCATTAGTCTAGTCCCAAACCCACTTTACAGCATTAAACTGTTCATCACTAACTTGTCAGCATCAGGTGAGATTTTAAATGCAGTGCAGCCTTTTTGGAGAGCGAAAACAGGCACTGTTCAGTACAATTACACCTGGGCCAGCCACAAATCCATGAGGGGAACCTGTCAGTCCTCTACCCCCCCACTCTCCTCCCCAAACACGCGCACACAGTACCAGATCATTTTATGTCTTGCTGGACACTGTGTCTACAGCTTCTCATTTTTTTCAATGTGCCACTGACTGTGTGCTGTATATTTTTGGGGGGGGGGGACAGGAAAAAAAGTGTCTGGTTCTTATTTGAAGAACAAGTCTCTGAACAGTTTTAAAGGGTTTTTTTAGAAAATTGGCTTGTGTGGCACTAGTACATGTTGGTCAGAACCCAGGGAGGCGAGGGCTTCTGTGCCATGAATGTAAATCAATCTGTACATACACATGCTCCTGCTTTCCTCTAGCAAGCAAACAAGATTTCTCCTCCTGGGTTGGTGGTTACTGTTATCATTTACAGTGGCATGTTTTTTTATCTAAGCAAACCTGTCTACTTTGGCTGGCTACATCTGAGAGACACAACTGGGTTTATTTTTACCTGATGGGCAAATGACTTTGGGAATCCTTTTTACCAAGTAGAGGTGGAGTTAAAGGTGTAAATTCTAGTAATATGGGGGTATAACCTGAATAGTAATTGTGCAAGTGTGAAAATGTAAGCACTTCTTTTCATGCCTTTTAATTAAAAGCTCCTAAAGTTATAAGAAGACTTGTGAATAGCAGTTTTGTCTGAATACCTATTTTCTAAAGGGCCATGTGTAATACAATATACAAATAGCTACAAACTGCTGCATTTAAAGAATTGGTTTCATACCCTAAATAAATCCTGTGCTGTAGCTATGTTGAGATGTCTATGGAAGTTGGCTATGTGAATACTTCCACTTGTCCGGCATTTATAATATATACTAAATCCCCACAAGAATTCTCAGCATACCTATGTCATGTATTCTCTTTTGAAACAGGGAGTAACATACTCTAAATCAAGTCTGACTTCGTAGAGTCTCTATATAGTTTGGACTGCTGTGCATTTAGAGGATTTAAACTTCCTGGTTTTTTTTATTTCTGTCATTGGTATTATCATATTTAAAATACTAGTTTTGTAGGCAATTAAAAGGTGAATGTGAGTTCAGGTGTAGTCACACATTCACTTGCAATGGTTGCAATTCATTGGCATGTTATGACGTATTAAAGTTGGTACATTATGCAGTCAAATGGCCACTTGCCACAGTTGCAAATCATGGGATGCTGAAACCTATTAAAGTTAGTATTGGTTAAAATTAGTATGTTAGATAATACTTGCCTGAAAGGGAGCAGTTTTGCAACACCATGATGACTCTCAACATGTACTGACTGGTTGAATGTTTGCTGATGTTTTAACTGCAGTTAATAAGTGTTAGGGTGAGCATATGACACCTCCCATATTAAACACCTTTTACTGTTTTGAAGTGTGGTAAGTATCAAGCCCAGGTACATCAAATTGTTGTAACCCTGGCTAATTCTGCTTGAGTAAAACCTTTTTCTATATGCAGTGTAAATCAAACACAGAATTCTTTTAGAAATGTTTTGGTTTTCTTTCCTCACCATGTATATACTATAGACAAACTTCTGTATCCTGTTACAGTAACTCTTCTGACTGCAAGAGGGTAGATTCTTTTTCAGGAGTGTGATGTTCAGAACATATACCTTATTATAGTCTTCCCTAGGCTTGCTTATATTTTAAAAGAACATTTCCATTGTGATGGTAAGTCAGAACTCTTTTGAACTGTTACAGAGACAGAGGCTATTACATTATGTCGTTTTTTTCTTCCTCAAACATTTGTTTAGTTTTTAATTGTAGCTGCTGGTTGCATGTGTATTCAGTGTGTTCTTGAGTTGAAAGAATCAATGTTTCAGAACGAAACTATCAAAATAATGGGTGTGAAGTGTGTGAAGTTATTAGTCTTTTACCCTGAAGTTATATTTAGTAGGACAATATTCCACCTACTTAACTATTCACATCTGTTCTTTGTCCAAGGAGGTTTTTAATGGTCACTGTAAGAGCTGTATCTTGGAAGGTCAAGGAAGGAGGTGAGGGGGACTAGTTCAGTTATCAAAGCTGGGAACATACACAATGATTGTAATGACTAATAGAGCATCTACCTAAATAGTTCCATATTTACAGAATAATAGTCTTCTGTTTAATCAAGACGAGAGGGAACATCTTGCTTCTATGAGAGTGTTTTATTTTAAACGTTGGTCTAAAAGTAATGCCACAACTCTTTGAAATGACCTCTTAGCCCTCTACTCTCTCTGCAGTTTCTTCCCTATTAAATCAGGGAGCCCGTTACTATGAGTCACCCTTACATCGTATTCTGGGTAATATATTGTATTATCAATGTATTCAGAAAAAGGAAAACTTCTCCTTAACTTAATTTACTTTTACTAAAACCCAGAGCAACAAACCTTGAAGTTATTAACATTTCTTTTAAAAACAGATGGCAAAATTACTGTGTGGCTGAGAACAGATGTTTATTATAGGAGTTCCTGGGGCTCCAAACTTTAAAATTATGCCTATTTTCCCTCATTTATAGGCATGTTTAGGCTAGAGTAACCATAAAAATACTCCAGGCAGTAAGGGGTTGACTGGGAAATTTGTAACGTTACATCCGAGCAAGTACTAAATTTTAGCTGACATATGCCTAGTCCTCCCAAGGGCGCAATTAACTAACTGGAAACTTAAACTCTTATCTTGTTAAACTGAAAGACTAAGGGTGTTTGCTAGCTACAGTATATATTTTATGTTGGAAAAAGGTATTGCTTAAGCCGAACTGTGTGGTTGCTGTTGCTTATAGCAGCTACCAAAAAAGGATAGTCCTTTAATCCAAGTCATTTGAAAATTCACTTGATGATGAAACCTGGACCAAGATATCATGGTTTAGATTTTCATCTGGAACATTGGATGTGGACTCTTCTATAGACCCTCTTTTGGGGAAAAAAAAATATCAGGGAAGCACACTTCTAGTTAGGTGATGTGTGTTCTGAGAAGCCAGGAGACTACAAAAAGTAACTACAATTATGCCCTCTAATTTAAAAGTAATAGATTGTTTCTGTTTTTGTTTGGCAGTAGTGGTTATAGAATAAATATAGCAACTATGACTTCAGGGTGTACGTAAGTTAGTGTGTGAAGTTTCATCTTATATTTGTAATGTCACTGATTTCTTAAAGATTCACTCTCCAAAGTTTCCTGGTACTATCACACAAGTTTGGAATCCCACACTTCATTGCACCAGGGAAATGCTTTGCTGAATCATTTGATTAATGCTTTTATATAGAGAGAAACTTATAATTCAGAACAAATTCCTGAAAATAATTTGAAATATTTGCATAGCATTTAATTGGTAAAAGAAGAGGCTTCAGCCTTTTATTGAAAGGAAACAGCTTTGTAGCTAATGCCAAAGTTCATTGCAATCCAAAATGGACATGCACAATGCACCCAAGTGCTAGCAGAGTAAATACTATTTGGTAACAATGTGAACAGGCTGCTGCATAGGCCATAAATTTTGAACACTTTTCAGTTGACGGTCTTCAAAAGGGATGATTATGTAGTATTTAATGCTGCCTTATATTGAAAGGTCAGAGATGTCCTAATCACCTGAAAATACTGAACTTCAAATTAATAAACCAATAAAGGTCCTGTCTTTCCTAGTTCCATTACATCTACTTCCAAGTCTCCAAAAATTTGTCTTCGGAAAGAATGCATAAATAAGTCTTTCCCTCTTCAAGTAAGTGCAATGTTCAGTTTCTATAAAGTTATCAGATAGGAAACTTGGACATGAATTGAAGAAGAGACAGTGTGCTTCAGGCAATGGCAAAGTTAATAGCTATAGTAAAATAAATGGCCCAATCTGTTACTGATGTGGTTGCACTTCTCACCTAATAAGGCTGGCATTCAGTTGTTTGGGGTGAAATAAGCATGTTTGTGTGGAATATTCCATATTCACCGTCTCTGGGACCTGCCTGGGCAGATATTTTAGCTTCAATGCCACCATCTTCTGTTTTCTGAGCTCACAATTTTTGTGCACAACTGGTACTTTTACCTAAAAGGAAGGCATTGTAGGCAACAACTTGTTGTTTTACTGTGTGGGTAGTTGTAGGCTGTGTCCAGAGAAAGGATTAAAGAGAGAACAGTTAATTCTGTATACGTTTTAGTGATCTGGAGGAAGAAAATCACACTGGAAGTGTTTGAATGGCATTCCAGCATATAGAAGTAATAATTGTTAGGGCTGTGAGAAGCTTCGGTCCCTGATTCGATTTGGCCCGATTCAGTGGCTGAATCTCTGAATCCAAATGGAATCAGAGGACCCCTTAA